TCCGTATAAATCACGTCTACTTGAGAGTGATCACGGAACGCATCCATGACATACTCTGAGAATATGGTATTACATGTAGTGGTTGAGCGCCCTGGCCTAAAACCGTGCTGCTCATCAATTAAAATACAACTAACAGGACGTGAGATACTACTTAAAACAATGGATTCCATTAGCTTAGCTAAATGGCTAAATGGTCTGTAGTTCGAAACATCTATAGTGTCACCTGATTTAAAAATTGGTGTCACTGAGCTGATTTTCTAGATACCTGGAAATAAACTTTCACACAGTGATTTAATTATTACAAGAAATAGTGGGTAACACAGAGAAGCTCTTATAGAGTAAAGAAAATCACCTGAGAGACCGTCAGGGCCGACTGATTTTATATTCCGTAGATTTCTAAGACGTATTAAGACATCGTCTAGGCTCACAAGACAAGTAGATGGGAGCTCATGAGGTAGTCCATTCTCTACGAGATCATCTAAATTGATTGCCGTTGAAGAGTACACGGAACTAAAGTGAGAGGAGAACATCTCGCACATACTGGCTCTATCGTTACTAAACGTATTACCAAGCTTAACTGTTGCGGGTATTGTGTTTCCACTTTTGGTTTTACGAACAAAATCCCAAAATGCCTTTGGGTTTTTCAGGAATGAGGACTCAGTGTTTTCGATATACTTGGAGTGACATTTCCTAGATAAAAACTTACATTAAGCACGTAAATTTGAGAAACGAGAGTAATCAATTGGACTTTGCGTTGATCTGTAAAGAGCATGAGCCTTTCTTTTTAATTGCACAGTATTCTTTAGCTGGTTAGAAAACCATATCAGAAATTTAGATTTTTTGTAGTTAACTTGTGAAACAAAGTTTAGAACACAATAATGAAGAGCATCGTATAGTGTAGATGCCGCATCATTAGCAGATAGGGGTGAAAGTGTATGAGTCCAATTAAATTACTTCAGGAACTCATTAATTCGAATAAAATCGGATTTATTAAAATTAAAGAAAACATGAGAAGGATCGGAACCAGCAAGAAGAACTAAAGCAGCAGATTCGAAGACAAGAGTTGGATGATAATGGTCTTCAGGTACAACATGTTCATCAGCCTTCTTTACAACTATGTCACCTTTGTTGCTAAATACTAGATCTAAGATGGTTTTATAACGATTTGGAACATTATTTAATTGGTAGAAGTTGAGAAAAGAAAAATATTCGGGGACGCAGGGAACACGGATGTGTGATGATGTAGAGTAAGCAACCCCATACGTATCATTAGATCAAGTAATATTGGGAAGATTGAAGTCGCCACAAATTATAAATATACATCCAGTATTGTGACTTACCACATTTTCGACTTCGGTTGTAAACAATTCATAGGAGGTAACAGGTGAGTTAGGAGGAAAGTAGACGCAGCATAAAATGTAAACGGTATTTAAGAAGTTAACCTTGACGAAGACGTGTTCAACACCAAAGGAATGTATAGGGAGAGTATGCGCAGGAACATCATTACGGACACCAACGAAGACCCCACCACCATAATTATGATTCTTTAGTACAGTGTCTTTCAGAAATATATAAGACTACAAAATTAGCTGATGTGAGATTAAAAGCAAATGACTTATCCGCAATCTAAAAAGTTTCAATTTTATATTTTTACTGTTTTAAAACCTATTCTGATTCAAATTCGCATAGTTAGCGCAAAGTTGCAATCACCAGACCTAGACCTCTTAGCTGCCGGTATCAATTGTTTAAACACTAAAGAAATCATTAACTGACTTAAGAACTGATGAAGATAACGACGAATTGGAATATTAATTATTATTCAATGCTATTCAACATTATTTGAAAAAGTTTTGGACATTTACAGTTCATAAAAAATAGAGATAACAAACTAAGACAAAGAAAAGTGTCTAGTCGGATTGACAGCAACAATACTCAACATTTTACCTCTGACAAAAAAACAAAAATGAAATGTTTTGTGTACTACACAGTTTTAGATGAGCTTTTAAACGGATTAGAAGAACGTTTTAGTCAAGAATCTCTTTTACTAGTAAGTGCAATTGGACGTTTATTACAGTTTAACCTGCATGAACATGACTTAATTTTACTATCCAATAGGTTTAACTTAAATGACAGTGAACTTGAAGCAGAACTCAGATTGTTAAAATCGTTACCAGAATTTGAAATTGGTAAAACTAGCAAAACTATTTATCAGTGGTTAAATAATTTGTTCAAAAATAATTGATGTAATAGTTTTCAAAATATTTACTATATATTAACTCTTTTTGTAACAATGCCAGTCACAAGTTGCTCTTGTGAGAGATCGTTTTCACAATTAAGTCTGGTAAAAACAAACCTGATAAGTTGTATGACGCAAGATCGATTGGAATCAATGATGTTAGTATTTGTTGAACAGGAATTGGCATCCGAATTAGATCCAGAAGACATAATTGAAGAGTTCAAAAGTCTTAACAATACACAACGGCGACTAGAACTTTAATTATTTTAAAATTTTGTAACTGACACATATATATTATATAATATTATATTTATTATTTATACATGATTTTATTTTAATTATTTACCTACTGACATCTATTAAATGCCATCTGAAATAGGGACAACATTTTTTTTTCATATTAGTTATAATAATGACGAATTTGAAATTAACAAAAATTGTACAAAAAGGGGGTGGCTAAGGGGCTTTAGCCAGGTTTCACCCTCTCAAAGTTCTGGATACGCCTATGACCGTAGATACATGACATTTTCAGTGATTGTTTACATTAGCATTTTAAATACACTATAATATACAATTATAAAAATATTTTGAGCTGTTTACGGACATATGATTGTTTATATTAGCATTTAATATACACGATAACATTTTAAAATTATTTTGATTTGTTTTAAACTGTTCACGGACATTTTGAGTTTCCATTTTTTTTTAATTTTTAATTCTATTCAATATCAATTAAATTGTATTTGTTGGGTCAAAAAGCGTTAACATTTAAAACAAGGCTACTGGTATATTGTTACAATATTAGTTGTAAAATATTAAAAATACATAGGCACCCATTTTTTTATAAGCATTAAAAGTTAGAATTTCGACAAAATTTAAAAATGATTTTGTAGTTATAAAAATGTATAAAATATTCAACTTTAATAGCTAAGGATTGAAAATTTAAATCAACCTTCCACGTAAATATAGGTTATACTAATTTCTTTATTCACAATAATGTCATCAAATATACTTAGTAATATCATAGGCTAATTGACTGTGTTCTTTCAGAATCCTTTTCGGTATCGGTACAATGATATTATATCATTGAATTCAAATTTTAACACCATCCATTACAGTGAACCAAATGTAACCTTCTGTACAGCAGAGCGACACATACATTCCCACATTTTTTTTTCCAAGCTCTTTTGAAAACTATTTGGAATTTTACTTCCGAATGCACCAACTAGATTCCCTTATTACTAATTTTTACTGCCCTAAAAGTTATGACAGTCACATAAAAAAACACATCTTAGTAAAATCAATACATTCATCGCTCCACTCAGAGTCTCAAATGTGTTGCATTTCAAATAGAGGAATAAAATCTAACGTCTTATTGTGACTTAAAGCATTGAAGAATAATTAATATTCCAACTCGTCTTTATCTTCGTATGCACCTACCTAATTGTAATACTTATTTATAATATTTTCAGTTGTTTTTTCTTTTTTAACAACCATAGTTTTTTTGGTGTAACTTAAATTCTTAATTAATACGTCAACTTAAGCATTTTTTTTTATAACAGTTGAAGTTCAAAAAGCTTCGTGGCACCTATATGTATGTGTTTAGTATATTGGACTTGACCTGTTAAAATAAATAAATCATATAACATAAAATTAAATTTTTTTTTAATTTTTACTGTAAAATGTATTTTAGTCTCAAGGTATGATGCGATGTATGATATTGATAGGTATATGATAATAATATGATATTATGTAAAATATGTATATTGTTATATCTGTTCCGCATATTGTACAAAATTAGGAACTATAGGTATGCCATAAAAGGCCAAACATAACAATAATAATAATAATATAGTCATTACTCAGTATAATACAATTATTACTATCAAGATTAACTTTGAAAAAGTATGGATATTTAAAATTTTTTTCATTTTTATTTCCAGAACTAGAACCTGAAAAATTATTCGAACCATTTTTAAACAAATTTTGCACGACCTCGGGATTGAAATAGAGATTTTTAAAGTAGATAAATAAAAATAATATAATTTAAGCACAATAATGCATTTTATCATTTTTGCTTTAAATTAAATTTTTTTACCTAGTAACATACATTTTACCATATAACTACCGGATGTTAAAATTACAAGATCTAAATAGATTAGGTAACATAGAAAAATGTGTAAAAATAGGCGTCGTAAAGGTTATAAGACACAGAGCTTAGTTTTTCCTAATAACCAGTACCTAAAAAGTATCAAATATATTATATAACTCAAATACTCGTACAATCAAAATTTTATTATAACACTATAAATGTATTTGTTTGGTGTACCAGATTTATTATAACCGAACTCAACATGATAATCAAAAAGACATTGTTGGTATCAGTTTTTGTTGTTTTCGGTTGTTTGTTCTCAATCAATAAGGCAAGTACTATAGCAGGGGTCACCAACTGGCGGACCGCGGTCCGGACACGGACCTCGAGCACTTTTTTTACGGACCGCACGCGCGTTTTCATTTTACATTGATTAAATTCATATGCGCCATACCGGCGAGGGAAACGCGCCATCGTCGGAGTGGCGCGTATGAAACGGGCCTTATCCACGGAATAGTTTTTATCTAGTTTAAATCCGATAACAAATAATAAGATAAGATCATAACATCGAGCGTTTTCAAAATTTTGAATAATTGTTTTTCATTACATCCCAACGGCGAATGGAGTAGTGAAGCCACAAACGTTTTTGTCTCTAATAAAGCTGCCCTACAGATGGAGATAATCGAATTCCAGGAAGACATGAGCTTAAAGGAAAAATTTACTCAAGTCACCAACACTTTACAGTACGATCAATTCTGGATGAAATACGTTTGTTCAAGTAAATACCCAGAACTAAAACGCCTGGTTTTAAAACTGTGTACAATGTTTGGATCAACATATGTTTGTGAAGCAGCTTTTTCTAAGATGAACTTTATTAAAAACAATTTCAGATCTCGGTTAACAGATGAACATCTTAACGAGTTAATGCAAATCAGTTGCACTAACTTCACTCCAAATATTAGGAAGCTCCTGAAAACTAAAAAATGTAATTTTTCACATTAAAAATGAAATATTTCAAGTATAATCTTTTTTTATTTGCAAATTCAATTTAAATAAATAAATATAAATACAAATTTAAAAATGCATATACCTATTTATTAATGTGTGTAAAATACAATTTGAATAAATAAATAAATATAAATACAAATTTAAAAAATGTATATACCTACCTATTTATTAACGTGTGTATAATACAATCTGAATAAATAAATAAGTATAATCACAAATTTATAAATTATAAATAATACCTATTTATTAACGTGTGTAAAAGTCATTGAAACTGTTTGGACCGCGTAAAGTTTGGTAAGTTTCAAAACGGACCCCCATAGAAATTAGTTGGTGACCCCTGCATTAGAGTATATTTTTCTTTTATATTATAATATATTAATATATAGTCACATAATATTAGTATTATATTATATTACATACCGATACCTATTAGCATTGATTATAAATACTAGTATTTATAATCAATGCTATTACCTAGTCTATGTTTTTTTTTAAACTCATATTTAAATAATGTACACTTCAATAGTAGAATATACTATGTCTATATTACGATTATATCAACTTTAAAAAAGGTGGGTAAGTGGATGTCGCTCTGCTGTACAGTAGGTTACAAGTGGGTCACTGTATAATGGATGCTATTAAATTTGAATTCAATTATACAATATCATTGTATAAGAAAAACGATTCTGAGCGAAGACGGTATGTCAGTCTAGGTTTAAGACAAATTATATACATATCTATGGTATTTAAAAAAAAATTGACCTATAATAAATTCCAAATTAATCATATCACATTATCACACTATCCATTAGGTACTTATAACACGTTATACATCAACATCAATAACAAACACTGATACTGTCATAGATATATAATAGAACACTTTAGAAGTTTCAAGTAGGTACTCACGAATAATATTATATAATCACAACAAAATAACTAGGTTTTTTAATATGTAATTTCGTCCAAATTTGAACATAAAATGACTATAAAAATAAACTGTGATTGTACGATACATCAACAACAAACCATGATACTATCATAGATATATAATAGTACAAAATACAAGTTTCAAGTGCCCACGAATAAAAACAATATATACAATCACAATAAAATAACTAAAATAGTTATTCTAGGTTTTTTAATATGTAATTTCGTCCAAATTTGAACTTAAAATGATCATAAAAATAAACTGTGCTTGTGTATTTTTTAGATTTTTCGGTAAGAGAATTAACTACTTACGTGGAATCTTGTTTTAAATTTTCAATCCTTAGCTATAAAAACTGAACATTTTATAATTTATTAATTACGATGATTAATAATTTTCGAGATTTTGAAAAATTCTGTCAAAATTCGATGTTTAAATGATTATAAAAAAAATTGTGCCTATGTATTTTTTATATTTTTCAACTGATATTGTAACAATATATCAGGAGCCTTGTATTAAATTTTTACACTCTTTGGCCCAACAGATAAAACTTTATTGATATTCATAGAAAAAAAAACTAAAACTAATTGAAATATGTAAATGTCCAGTAAACAGCTCAAAAAGAGTCAAAATATTTTCAAAATTGTATGGTCTATAGAAAATGCTAATTTAAACATTCAGTGAAATTTTCATGTATCTATAGTTATTCGTTTATGAAAAACAACAAAATAAGGAAATCGCTACATGAGAAATCGAGTGAACATCCAATGTTGTAAAAATTTGAATTTCAAACGCTCATAAAAATTTAATTTGACTGTCCGGTAGAGATTTTTTTATTGATAAAGGTAGACAAACTTATGAGTAATCTTGTATTACATTTTCAAATCTTAGATTTAAAAAGAAACATTTTTACGAATTCTTAACTCAAAATAATTTGCTAATTTTCGTGATTTTTCCATATTTTGTAAATTCTTGAACTTGAAATGCTTATAAAAAAAAACTATGACTAACGATTTTTAATATTTTTCATCTGCCTTTGAAACAATATACTAGGAGCCTTCTATTAAATTTTCAAGTTTTTTTAACAAACAAATAAAATTTTATTGATATTTCTAGAAAAAAAACTAAAAAATAATGAAAAATGAAAATGTCCCTAAACAGTTCAAAATAAATCAAAATATTTTGAAAATGTTATCGTGCATAGAAAATGCAAATATAAACAACCAGTGAAAATTGCATGTATCTACGGTCATTTATTTTAAAGTTAAATAAAAAACCAAATTCAATTTTCTGAAAAATCGATTTTGCGTAAAAATTCCCGTTTTTCTTAATTTTTCTATTGTTTTTCTTAGCGATTTTAAAAAGTACTTGGAATTTTAAAATTTGACCTCACCAATGCACCAACGATATTCACTTTCCAATCGAACAAGATAGGTACTGAAGTTGAAAATCAAAGCATTATTTCGACTACTTATCGTGTACACAGACACAAAAAAAAATAAAAAAAAACACACATCATTGTAAAATCAATACATTCATGGTTTCACTCAGTATCTAAAATTAGCCTGCAACTATTTAAAGTAATACATTTAATTTTAGTTTATTATTTTTATAATTTTACAACTCTACATTTACCAACATAGATAATATACCTATACGGATATACATTTAAGAATGTAATATAATAGGTTAGGTCAGTGCCGGGTTAACGAATATGCCGCCTGGGGGCAGATTTTAAAATGCCGCCCTTTACAAACCTGTACGCATCATAAAAAAAATAACGTAAAAAATAATTTAATGTTTAATTTATATATATTTATAAGCATATCGTAAAATCAGTAGTTTTAGTATCATAGAACTATTAGTACTAAGTATAAACATATAAACACAAGTTGAAATTTACAATTTTTTTCTAGCTTTCTGTGCAGCAAATTCTTTAACGAAGTCATTCCAATCCATACTTTGTAGGACACAATTCTTAATATTCATTAGAGCCAACGATGACATCTTTTCATCAGATAATGATGATCTATGGTAGTTCTTCACTCTCTTTAAAACGGAGAATGATCTCACTCCGCTAGCGTTTGAGCATGGTATGGACACAAACAGTTTTAAAGCTATTTCCACATTAGGAAATGAATCGTTTAACTTTGATGTTGTTAATGCTTCAAGCAAACTGCGCATAGATGATTTTTCTTCTGCAGAAAAATGTTTCACTATAGTTTTAAATTGAATGATCTCATTTTCGAGGTCAGGTTCTAAATCTTCACTATAGATAGCTACTAATTGTTTTGATTTTTCGCGTAAAATTTCATTGTCAATTTCCTCTATATTTAAAATAAAACCAAATATCTTATTTATCTCAATATATGCCATTTTTCTTTCATTTAAAGATAAAATAATTGTGTCACAAATTGGTAAAAATGTTTCATTTTTGAATTTCTCTTGTCCGTGAAATATTGTGTCTTGAACATCGAGGTCATCATGAAAACATTTTTTTCGTTTATTTCTTTTTTCTTCAAAAGAAAAGATTTCATGTCCACTAATTTGCTTTGCTTCAACTAATATATTATCGAATCTATTTCTTATATCTTGTACATACATTTCTAGAGATTCATACAATTTCACAACACAAGATAAATCAATATTAACACGTTGTAAATTTTTACTTGTTGCGTCGAATCTTTCTAATATTGGCGTCCATAGAGCTATCATAAATGAGAACTCGAGCGTGTCAATTTTTTTATACATGGATTCTGCTTCATGTCTTATAGCAGCTTTCTGATCCAAATTCGAAGCTATAGATTTCAATGAATTTAACACTCCTTTAAACCCAATTTTCAAACTCTTACAAACACTAAATCTTGACGACCATCTCGTTGGGCATAAGTTTTTTAGAAACATTGAATTTGGTATATTTTTCAAACTTATTAAAAGTTGTTCCCACCGCCATGTCGATGCAGAAAAAAATACATAGATATTTTGGGCAAGTGAAAAAAAGTTATAACCTTCCTTAGTTACATCAGCAGCATGACAACCAACCAAATTTAAGGAATGTGCTGAACATGGGCTAAAAATTGCATTTTTTGATTTTTCTTTGATTCGAGCTTGTAAACCATTGTACATACCGGACATATTTCTGGCATTGTCGTAGGATTGTCCACGACAATAATTTATGTTGATATTTAATTCAGTTAATTTCGTTAATATTGCGACTTCCATTTCTTTACTTTTATGTCCAACCGATGGAATAAAACATAAAAATCGTTCTACTGCAGTCCCATCTAAATTAACGTATCTAATAGCAATTGTTAATTGATCTAATTTTGTGATATCGGGAGTAGAATCTACGATTAACGAGAAATATTTAGCTGCCGTTACTGCATTTACAATATTACAAAGTACAGATTTGTTCATAAGTGTTATTAACTCATCGCAAATAGTGTGGGACAGATATGAGACATTTCCACGGCCTTTATTACCGTATTCGTCAAGATGTTTGGACATTAATGGATCGAATTTCGCAATTAATTCTAAACAACCGAGATAATTGCCATTATTTTTAAAACCCAGCGTCTCATTATTGCCACGAAATGCAAGACCTCTGCCTGATAAAAATATAACTGTTTCAATTAAACGGTGAATTATACTTCTCCAATAAAGTTCTCTTTTTTCAAGTTCAATTTTTAACTCAACATCAATACCTGTAGTTAATTTACGTCTTGAGAACCATATGCGAATAGATTCATTATGCATCAAATTCTTTTCGTGTTGTTCAACTTTTTCTAAACATTTTTTCCAATCAGTAAATCCTGAATCGGTGGAACTAAACTGTGTTTTTTTATTAGAAAATAGAAGGCAGTAAAAACAAAATAGTGCATTTTTTGAAGTTGAGTATAGTAACCATTGTCTATCTTTGATTTCACCATTCAATAGTTTCCTTTTGAAAATATCACACGGTAACTTCCTATTAAATTCACCACATTTACGAATAGTACTATCAAAATTAATTATTTTAGGATTTGATACAACTGGGTTACGAATAAAATAATCAATAATATCAGAA